TATATACACACTTGACCCTTTTTTTTTTTAATAAAAGCTTATAATTTCATAATTTTATTAAATAAAATAATTCACAATATGAGCTATTCCTCAAAAAAAAAAAAAAAAAAAAAAAACTCAATTTAACATTTTTAACTGCATCATAGAGATGGTTGACTGATCTGGATATATTGATGAGGTTATCTATTAAAACTAAATGAGAATCATTAAAATTAGAATTTGTGTTGTTTTGTTTTTCAGATTGATACATGTTATATTTTTTTTACACGACACATCAAATATTATTTATATATATGATTTCCCTACCTTTAAATATCTCTAACTCGTGTAACAGACCGTTTTTTAAAAATATCACATTATAATTAAAGCTTTCTAATGGATACCTTTTTATATTGAAAGGTCTTCGGTTTAAATTGTTTATTATGGTTTTTTATAATTTCTTCTTTGTCACTTGATGGATCATTTTCAAGAATATTAAATGCAAAAGACATTTTGATTAATTAAAATACGGTGTAAAATTAAAAATTAATTTTTTGCAACAAAAAAAAAAAACAAACCAAAACAAAAGCAAAGAAAAAAATGTCAGTATTTATAAATTCTCGAATGTGCACGGTTTCCTAATTTTTCATAAATTTATAATCATTCTACCCAAATCCAGTATCGAGTATAGTAAATAACAACTTCTTTTTAAATCCTTCCAATTTATTCAAATACACACAATAGATAATGAATTAGATAAATCATAGATAAGGAACAACAGAAACCCACGGAATAAAACAAAATGTGAATGATTGATTACCCACACTTGTTAATAATAAATAATAATAAAAATAGGACAGGCCAAAAATAATTTTTTTATTATTATTAGCATTGATGTTAATTAGACAAATATTGATCGACAAAAAAAAAGGCAAAAAACGATTATCAAAATATCAATAAATGAAAAGTCATTTTTTAGAATATTAATATAATATCAATAAATGAAAAGTCTTTTTTTTTTTGATGCGGAAAATAGATTCATTACAAAAATTTTCTTGAATATAAAAAATATTAATATGTATCAATAAATGAAAAGTTATTTTTAGATGCGGAAAATAAATTAATTGCCTGAATATGAAAAATATTAATATGTCAATAAATGAAAAGTTATTTTTTAGATGCGGAAAATAAATTTATTACAAAAATTTTCCTGAATATGATAAATTTTTCATTAATTTAATTGTATGTTTTCAGAAGGTAATGATATTTTTAAACAATGTAAAATCTTACTAACCTAATTTTAGGCTTGCCTTTGAGAAATCAGAGTATGACTCGTCATAAACAAGAAATAAAGTAGGATTAGACAAAGTTTTTTTGTTGATAATTGATAGTATTAAATAATTTACATGCCACAGTCCATTAAAATTATTTGAATTTTCACTAGTAGGTGGTTGGGCACTAAAAGAAGTCCAAAATATGGAAAAAGGGTGGTGGTAGACTTATACCAAAAAGAATAATTATAATTTTAAAATAGTGTTTTTTAGCAGGAAATGTTGACAAAAGTTATTGAATGAGTTGCCAAAGAAATGTAGAAGGAAGAGTGATTGAAAGTTCAGATTTACCAAGATCATAAACCACGATAATTGATGACTAGATACTCAGCATAGTTATGTGAGAAAAAACGCTTTGAGTTGAAGATTGAAAAAAGGCTTATAAATTTATTCTATTGTTTGAAAAATTATATATATATTTACCTTCAAGTTTAAATAAAAGAATGCTTTTAAAAAGACATAACGTTAATCCTAATTGCGTGATTATTGAAGCACCTGCTTTATGTAGAGTTTTGCGGTGGTTATGTTTCATTCTTCTATTCCAAATGTCATTAAATAGAGAGTGAGTTAAATAAATAGGTTATAGGTTAATTTTCTATTATTAATAAAATTACATACCATGAACCAATAGAATTACAATTCCCACATATCTAATGGAAGTCGTTTAAGAAGAAAAATTGTTACTGAGAAGAGTTTACGAACTCAATGGAAATCTAATCTATCAGACAAAAGAGTAGAACTTTAAAAAAAATTATTTTAATTCTATATATTAAATTTCTAAAATTTCGAGTTTATATAGTATAAAAGTAAAGATAGTTTATTATTATGATAATATGAAAGTTTTTTTGAGGTTTACAAGTGTATTAATCCATATAAGGGAGGATTAAAGTTTGGTAATTAATCTATTACTATTACTATTAATGCAATATTAATCATCATGTGGACGAAAATCCGTGTAACTCCCTTGAATAAATGTCAGACGCGTCATAATATTGTTTACACGACTCAATATTTAACACTCCTTTCAGACAAAGCATCAAATTTTAACTTGGTTTCGAATGATTTCACTTTTATGAATATAGTTGGTAAGGATTGTCTTTATTGAAAGAAAATAGTTAATTTTTATATATATATAAAAAAATAGTTGTAAAAACAATGTTTTGTAATTTTTTTTTGTAGGTGTTTCTATTTCAGAATACTTCAAAAATACCACGTCCAAAATAGTCATTTGATAATTTTTTAGAAGTTATGGAACCTCTCATTATGGGAGAAAATAAAAATACAGATGAACTATCCTCAATATGGCGTAAAGATTTATAAATTCACTTAAAACATTATGATCTTGGTAAATCTGAACTTTCAATCACTCTTCCTTCTACATTTCTTTGGCAACTCATTCAATAACTTTTGTCAACATTTCCTGCTAAAAAACACTATTTTAAAATTATAATTATTCTTTTTGGTATAAGATAGTTTATTATTATGATAATATGAAAGTTTTTTTGAGGTTTACAAGTGTATTAATCCATATAAGGGAGGATTAAAGTTTGGTAATTAATCTATTACTATTACTATTAATGCAATATTAATCATCATGTGGACGAAAATCCGTGTAACTCCCTTGAATAAATGTCAGACGCGTCATAATATTGTTTACACGACTCAATATTTAACACTCCTTTCAGACAAAGCATCAAATTTTAACTTGGTTTCGAATGATTTCACTTTTATGAATATAGTTGGTAAGGATTGTCTTTATTGAAAGAAAATAGTTAATTTTTATATATATATAAAAAAATAGTTGTAAAAACAATGTTTTGTAATTTTTTTTTGTAGGTGTTTCTATTTCAGAATACTTCAAAAATACCACGTCCAAAATAGTCATTTGATAATTTTTTAGAAGTTATGGAACCTCTCATTATGGGAGAAAATAAAAATACAGATGAACTATCCTCAATATGGCGTAAAGATTTATAAATTCACTTAAAACATGATTAATGATGCGGAGACGGACCAGATAGCTCGGCATATTGCAACCTTACTTGTAAATAATGTATAGTAGAATCTTGTCTTTTTTTCCTTTCCTTTTTCTTTTTTTTATTTTTAGTATATGTGCAGCTTGGGGGTGCCGTTCCTCGTGCAAATAAATACTAAAAATCTCTAAAAAAATCATCAAAATAACGTGATTTGAAATAACTGTACTCTTTTCATTCATTTGTTCAAGAAACAATCTAGCACTACCACAAAGTTTTGGAAGCAATTGAAGATTGATAAAAGTTATGAAAGTGCCCGGGAGAGACTTCAGAATAAAAAGGTTTGTGGTCATTTTGAAACAGTTTTTTTTTGCAACTTGACTAGAGATGTGCCTTCATAGTAACCGTGATTTTTTTCGTGCATAGTGCGCATAGTGTATATATATCATAGGGAGGGAAATATCATAAATGCGCATATAATAATAAGAAAGTAAATGGCATATTTAATTTTTTTTAGAAATGTTTATTAATAAGTAATTGTCTATAAAAATATATCTAAAACCTTATGCGTAACACACTATGCGTAACATACTACGCGCGACATTTCTCTAAACTTGTTACATTTAAAAGCCTTCTGCGTTACAGTCTATATTCAAGGTAAACTCTTAAGTTGATGCACTACATATTTTGGAGGTTTTTAGAGCGCATAAAACCATTCAAGTTGCTAGTGAATTCAACCTTGAAAACTCTGGTTCTGACATTCAAGTAATTGGTTACATATTTTCTATATCATATACTACTACGATAGCTGTAGTATTTAAAAAATAAGGCCATTGTATTTGCGTCAAAAACTTCTTATAAACGAAAACGACAAGAAAAGAACAAACGATTCGTTGATAAAAGAAACAAAAGTAAAACGAGTTCATTTGTAAGAAGGATGAAGTAAGAACTTTGATTTAATTTGTTATTATTATTATTACATTTATATTTTTTATTTGTTTTTGCATTATATTATTTTGACAAGGATTTCAACCCATTTTATGATGTTGATAAATCTCCATCTCCTACAGGACCTCTCACAATCACATCAAATAAACCATGAAGTGTAGTGTTGAACGCACAAATTATGTGCGCACGATACTGATTATACATTGAGAAATTATTGGTTGGCAAATTGACTGGTCCATTGAGAACAGATGGATTTTGGGCTGGTCCATTGCCATTAATAAAATACATGGTTAAAGTGTTACACTAATGGACTCAATGGACCACCAATAGACCATCGATGGACCGCGCATTTGCCAACCCTGCTACATTTACACATCTCAAAAAATTTTTTGACAACAACACATATGAAAATATCAAAAATATCATTAATCATGGGAACAAATTAATAATCAAGGATCACATAGTTGGTAAACTTGATGAAATATTTGGATGTGACTATCCTAAAGTTGAAAATACTATAATTACTGCGACAAAAATTGTAGATGATCAATCGGACAATTCAAAATTCATTTTATCAGACATTCTCTTTTAGATTTTGTAACTAACTTTAAATATACAACACCAAGAGCATTAGATAGATCAATGTATGAAAGATCATATATTGTAGAATGTCTATCACCAATATTTCATTATTTTCAGAATTCATGCCCAGAAATAAAATATCACTGGATAGAAAAGATTGGTAGAGTCAATTAATGGAACGAACGAAATGTTTATACAGAATATTGGCCAATACATATCAGTTGTTAGAATTTCTGACGAAAGAGAGATACTAAATGTAGAGTTCTTAGGACTACCATTTAGAAGCACTAAAGACCACACTGTTGGAGATGTTAAAAAGTTATTGATTATGGCCGTCTGTAGTTTATGTTATTCCCTTGGTGACTATTTAGATTGTAGCGTTGAGGATGCCAAAAAAGTTAAATCATATAGTATCCAAGTAATTGGTAATAGACTTACATTATTTGCAATTTCCTTATTTGATAAAAAAAAATACTTGGCGGTAGAACTTTCATCATCATGTATCAGGGTTGGCAAATGTATGGTCCATTGATTCCATTAGTGTGACATTTTAGCCATATTTAGTAATTTATTAATGGCAATGGACCAGTCCAAAGTCCATCAGCTCTCAATGGACCAGTAAATTTGCCAACCCTGTCATGTATAATTCCATTTTCATATGATTCAATATCATGTTATATGAAAATTTTTAATTTTTTCGCAATTATAAGAAAAGAATTTC